CTGGTGGCCTGGAGGTGGGATGGTGGTGGGGGGTACATTGGCGTGCCCTTTCCTTGCTCTGATGAGCATCAGCGCTTATTCTTAGCACTAAACTCCCTCTATTTTTAGACCCCAAGGTAATTTTTCCTCGTTAGTAAGGCCAGACACTCTGGTTGGGCCTTGCTGGGGGGGGATCTGTCTCTGTCCGGGAGCTCCTCCTTGGGGGAGGTGTGAGGAGAGGGTGGAAAACTTAGTCCTCAACCTCCTCCAGGAGGGATCTGCTGACGCTCGAGCAGCTCCGTGACCTCTCGTGGAGGAAAAACTTAAATGTGCCTGAAAGGCGCATGGCTCAAAAATCCTTTGGTCATTTCTTTTGTTGGAAGGGGTTTCAAAAGGAGCCCCTGCCTCGTTGGCACGGATCTATTAGCCAAACGACTTTGTTACGAGACCAAAGCACCGGGGAGGTGCTGGTGGCTTGGCAGAGGGGTGGTGTCCAGTCGCACTTGGTGGGTTTTGGGGTCGGTGGGTCTTTTGTGGCCTCCCTTTTAAAAGGAGTTTTCCTCGGCAAAGGTAGCGAGTTCATAACCCTCTTTGGTCGGTAGATTGGCAGCGATAACGCACTGTATTAGTAATATTTCACAGGCTGGATAATAGTAATATTTCACAGGTTGGATAAAGGTATGGCTTTCCCTAATTTTATCTAATAATATGGAGAAAGGGGATGAAAAAAAAAAAGAGAGAAAGAAATATCACCACTCCTGGAGTCCAGCGATGTATTGCAGGTCTGGTCTGATCTTTGGTGGTGGGTGCACGCCTGTGTCTTGATTATTGGTGTTTTTAATTGTCCTTTTTCGTTAATATTTGTGAGTCCTGTTTGGATTATCCCCTCCCTCTTCTTGCTTTTCGGGCTAATTAGGATGCAGGCAACATTTTGGGGGCTCCAAGGGGGTTTTGTCTGCTGTAGATAAGGGAGCGGACCTCCTCAAGTCCAGTGTCCACCTGGAGATAAAGGAATGGGCCTCCCCAAATCCAGAAACACCCCTCTTCTACAGTGTGTGTCTGGAGAGGGGGGGTTGGGGAGCTGCTGCAACTGAAGCCCCCTTATCGATCACCCCAACTGAAGTTTCTGAAGGGGGGACACTGCTCCACCCTCTTCCCTCCGAGGAGGGAGCACCGCTGCACCTTCGTGGGGCTTGTTCCCTCCTTGGAGCAGGTTGTTTTTAGGGCTAATGCATCAAACTTGCACTGTAAAACAGGTTTGTTCAAGACACCTATATAAAATCTGCAAAATAAGGTTGTTTAAGGAAAAAAAAATAAATCAGGCTGTCCTTTACAGATGGGCAGTGACTCAACAGCGAAGCTGGGGCCACCTTGGAGCCTCTTTGAAGAAGAAGAGCCGCAAAGCTGGTGAAGGGAAAGATGGAGGGAGGGACTCTTCATCGGGGGGGGGTAGTGATAGGATGAGGGGTGATGGTTACAGATGTGTCAATGAACTACTACAATGGACATAAGGAAGAAATTCTTCCCTATGGGGGTGGTGAGACACTGGAAGAGGTTGCCCAGCGAAGCTGTGGCTGCCCCCTCCCTGGCAGTGCTCAAGGCCAGGCTGGATGGGGTTTGGAGCAACACGGTCTGGTGGAAGGTGACCCTGCCCATGGCATGGGGGTTGGTACTAGAAGGTCTTTAAAGTCCCTTCCAACCCAAACCAGTCTGTGATTTTTATAAGGGTCTGGAGCACAAGTTGTATGAGGAGCAGCTGAGGGAACTGGGGGTGTTCAGCCTGGAGAAGAGGCTGAGGGGAGACCTTATCGCTCTCTACGCCTGAGAGGAAGCTGTAGTGAGGTGGGGGCCGGTCTCTTCTCCCAAGTGCCAAGCGATAGGACAAAAGGAAGTGGCCTCAAGTTGACCCAGGGGAGGTTTAGATTGGATATTTGGAAGAATTTCTTCCCCAAAAGGGTCGTCAACCTGGAACAGGCTGCCCAGGGAATCGGTGGAGTCGCCATCCCTGGAGATGTTTAACAGCCGTGCAGATGTGGCGCTGAGGGACATGGTTTAGTGGTGGCCTTGAGCAGGGCTGGGTTAACGGTTGGACTCGATGATCTTAAAGGTCTTTTCCAGCCTAAATGGTTCTGTGCTTTGTGTTTGGGGCTGGTGGTGGCTGTGGTGGGCTACGTGCATGAGCGGACCCTCAGAGCCTGCTCTGAAAAGATACCTGGAAAGAAAATTAGCATTTTTTAATAATTAGGCTCCAAAACCAGTAGCTTAAGCGTCCGTTTTGGCACAAAAAAAAGAGCATAAAGGGGCAAAATGTGGCTGATGGCGCTGGTGCGGTGTGTTAAGGGTCTGTTGGTGAGTCTGTGGTTCGCAGCTGCGTTGAGTGGTCCTGTGAAATCGCTTTTGTTCCTGGCTTGTCGTGAGGATCGAGGGAAGATGTTGAAGTTTTTCTTTCCAGCGCCGGTTTTCCGAAACGTGGCCCGCGCGAGCCCACGCGGAGCGATCGTCCTCGAGGAAAACCAGCGCTGTGATGCTGGGGAAACTCCCGTGGGACTGGTGTTTAACAGCGAAACTCCTAGTGATTAACAACCGCCATCTTCTTCTCCTTAGGTCTCATAAACGACCATAAAAACACGCACGGGGACGCGCCGCGGCCGCTGCCAGCCGTGCCGCCGAGATGGACCAATCCCCCCCGGCCTGCCTTCAGTGGGAGGGGGACGTTTTCAGCCCGGTACCCCCAACAGGCTCCCAGGGATTTCCAGCAGCGCCAGGGCCACTCCTGGAGGAAAAAATACTCCCTCGTCAACCGCCCGCCGGGATCAGCGTGTGATGGCGGAAGCGCCGGCGGATCTCAAGCTTTTGGAAGCCGTGGGGACAACCAGGCCCCTGAGCCACCAGAATCGTCCCCAGAGAGACATGTGGACTTGACCACAGATGGTAATATCGTTGTGGGGATCCAGCTGCCACAGAGGGCTGGCCCGTTTGTAGACACGAAAGATTTTGCCGCCGTGGGTTCTTACTGTGAGTTTTCTGGGCTGAAAACGGTGGTCGTTGCTCCAGGTGACAGTGGAAACGCGCCGAAAGCCCTGCCCGCCGGCCAAAGCGTGGAGAGAAGACCCTCGCTCTCCATTTCGTTTAGTTCCTCTCACCGCTTCGTGAGCTCAGCCTACGGGAGCGCGGCGGAGAAGCCTCGAACGGTGCGTCTTGCCGGTGACGCGGCCGGGAGCTTCCCTACCTCCTGTAGAAGCACCAGCGAAAGCGCCGTGACGCTGAAGTCGGAACCTTTGGCGTCGCCGGATCGTGAGCCGGCTCAGCACTCGGTACGGAGGAAGGCAGAACCACCAGCTCCGGGACAGTCTGGTTGTGAGCAGCTCGGGGAGGCTTTCAGAGAGCCGAAGCTCCTTGGGAAGGGTGAGACAGGCTCTGGATCCACTCAGGCTGCGGCTTCGGTGGTTGGGGTGACGCCGGTGAAGAGCAGGTTTTCGGTAGTCCCCAAAGCTGGCGGTCTCCAAAGAGCTGCCTCCACATCCATCTCCAGCAAAGCTCCGAAGTTCAGGAAAACGAATTACACGTGGATCGCAAGCCCTGGTAGATGCTCTCGTCCTGTGAAGAGATGGGTCAGCCCTAGAGCTTCTGAAAGTGCCAAGAAGGTGGCCGGTGGAGGGGACAGAGGTGCTAAACTGTCACCAAAAGCAGACTTGGGAGCAAAACTGAAGAAATCAGGACTGCAGGCCAAACTGGGCGTTTCTCCCAGTAAGTATAAGTGGAAAGCCTCCAGCCTCCAGACCTCGCCCTCCACCTCCAAGTCAGCGTTCAGGTGGCGATGCGAGGATCAGAAAAAACCGCCGGCCCCCAACCTCCCTCGAGCCGGCGCCGCCCCACCGCCTCCGTCCGTTGGTCTCGGCGGGGTGAAGTCGTCCTTCGGCGACGCCGCGTTGTCCAGCTATAAAGTGAAGAGCCGAACAAAAATCATCAAGAGAAAAGGCAACGCGGGGTAAGTCGCTGGTCATCGTCAGAGCGGTGGTGTTGCGCTTGTATTGCGTGTCCCTTGGCTTCATGTACCTTGTGGCTGTGAGATTCCAACGAGGGCTGTTGTATCCTGGAGGGCTGTTGTATCCTGGAGGGCTGTTGTATCCTGGAGGGCTGTTGTGAAAACGGGGAAATCAATCCGGTCTTGTGTGGCCAGCACTGAATATGTGACAGACACAAATCGGGAGACAA